CTGACATATTTCAACCTAACTAATTTATTTATACAACAAACCCTATCAAAATGGTAGTGCCCCCTAATGTTACAGAATCTATGTGATACTATAATGCTTATCTCTGTTTTATTTTAAGGCTAGAGAATAAGCACAACCACACAAACTATCTGCTCTAATCTATGCCAGTTACATAATGGTCACCATCCCGTGGTCTTGTTATCTAAATATTCATTTTTTAAGAAATGGCAACGCTTATTTTCTAAGTTTCGAGAGAGCTAAGGATAAGGCTAACAAATGCTAATTTTTATACGCACCCTTGCACCATGGCCTAGTGTGTAAAATGAGCGTAGTTATGTCCGAACGGTTGAATTCCAACTTTAATTCACTGCAATGCTAACAAACCTAATTTAATTCAATTTAATGAATGTTTTACACGCCATGTTCATGAGTCGCATCTAGTAGCTATAAGCGAGGCGAACTGCCAATTCAAAATTTAATTGGGTAGTAAAACAAAATAAGAGAGCCACCTAGTAATCCCTCTCAGCATAAGGATACTGATTACGATAAACCTCATTAAGATTTCAAGAATAAGAGATCCATCGAGCAAAAGAATTTGTACAAGCTACATTGGCTTTTTTGGAGCAGGCCTCGACAAACATAAGAATGAATTATAACAACCCTAAGATATTCTTCAGAAATCATTAAGTAGGAGCGATATTTCAAAGAAAACCCAACATGAAGCATGAAAAATGATTAATATAGGCCACAGAGTAAAAATGGACTTGGACATTAACACGAGTAAGAAACATGAGATCAGACATACACACAAGCACATATCAAGTGAGGCACGATGAAATCCAGCATTTGGCTAAATTAAAAACACATCGGCTTTCGCAAAATTACGATAAACAATAATCATGCTTGACAAGGTTCAATATTTAGATCGGCAAGGTCCTTGATTCCATCCTTAGTGACTTGGCGCAATTTGAACCGTTCCAGGTTGACGAGAAACCGCTTGTTAATTTCCTTAACGCATATTTTGACAAGGTTTATAGCTGAATCCAAATCCATATTGGGATTGTAATACCTATCGAGAATACCGTAGGTGAAGAGCCCCCCATATCCGTGGATTGCGTAAGGAACCTAAAAAAAAATTAGAAAAATTATATCTAACTTTTACAAGAGCCCCAAGATAATCCGCGAAATACATTTCTGGACCGGTTTCTTCATCATAACCAGCAATCAATACGTTTACAGCGTAAGGAGACTGTATTTATATGATACAAAACCTCTTACCTGGCTACGCAGGGAGTCAGCAAGATTCTTTCTAGTAAAATATGCAGCTGACTTTGGGGAAAGCTCGTAGCCATTTCGAATTTCGTACAGTTGCATATTTTGCTGGATAAATTCGGCAAACTGAACAGCATCACCTTGCTCACCACATACACCCATAAGAACTCTCCGACTCATACGAAACATCTTATCAAAATCCTTTTTTAAGCTAATTATTGAGGAGATAGCTTGGGTGTCGGTTGCAAGAAGGACGAAATCATTAAACCTAACGCCTATTAAGCATTCCATCAGTGACTAAGTAGATAAGATAGACAAATAAGGCGCCGCGAACGCAAATAGTATAAGAGGCAACCTTAGAATGCTATATATTAGACAGCTAACTTACAGTTTTAGTTATTTTTAAACATTGATTACTCTTTATTTGTTACATTAATTTAAATAATTTACAGTGGGCTTCGCGACTATAATTATTAGGATTAGTTATTGTTTATATAATTTGTATATTAAAGCATATTCGAGCCAGGCACCAGATCAGATTTCATAAACGGGACTAATTATTATAAATTTAAAAACGCTTAAAAGCTAGACTAAGCTGTAAAAATGAATTACATGCTTAATGCACATTTC